ATTTGTTAAATAAAATTGTAATTGTATTTTGTTATTTTGTATTATAATATATTGTAAAATAAATGATAAAAAATTAATAAATAATAAAGTTCTTTAAATACCGCAAAAATCGGATAACTTTGGCCCAGACAGAATAATTTTGACTCAAAATTTTAAAAAAATACGTAAACAGCCTGCATATCCACAATCAAGACGTAAACGCTTTAAAATGTTTTTAAGAAATTTTTTAAATATCTTACATCCTGATTCTGACATATGTGCTGGTTAGATATTATCAAAATTTTGGGCCAAAACTATCCCATTTTTGTGGTATGTACGTAAATAAAAGATGACCGTCGATTATAATCGGCGGGGGTGGTGGAGGGCCTCTGCAGATTCACCCGTTTTTACTTCTTTGAAATTTTACTTCAAATTGAGAGCATACAGTTGTTAGTTTCTATGATAAAACGGGACAATCTGCATTTAAAAAACGTTATTTTTTATGTGTATAGGTACTGCAAAAATTCGTACAAGACAGAATTTATTATATGAATGTGTTTAATATTCATTTTTAAGTTTCAGATTCAGCAGTTTCCATTTTTAATGGAGAAAATAAGAAAATAAATCACATTTTCCAGTAATTAAATTTTATTTACTTTATTTATTAAAATTAAAAGTAAAGCTTAAATAGATCTTGATTTATTACACATTACTTATATCACATTAATTTCGTTATTAATTTAATTATTAATCATTATTTTACTTATTTTTGTTTTTAATTATAGTTGCTTTTATAAATTTATTATAAAGGCCATGAGTTTAGATTCACAATCTTACTTTAAGTTGTAAACCGTAAGAATCGAATATGAGAAAATCTACTGTGTTGATTTCTTATGACTTACGACTTGCGATCCTACATTATGATAATCCTTCGTAGTGGGTCGAAAATCCAAACAGAAATCTTAAGAAGAATCCCGGCCGTTATTATTCTTTCGCAGTTATAACAAATTATATGAGGATATATTAAATGATAAAATACGATTTATGCATGGTCTGAACTGAAGTCGAGAAATAACGATCTTAGAATCGAGGAAGACAAGAATAAATATGAATTTATTTTTTAACGCATTTGCTATGTATTTACATATATCTGCATATACGAACGAAGCATCGAGATTGTGAAATTTTTGTAATCATATAATGTTTCCCATATTATATCTAATATGTACATACACTCAGCAATTAAAAGATTGCAACACTTTTTTGGATGGATTTCGAGATGCAGCCTACTCACTGAACGATTGATACTTAGTCGAGTAAGTAAAAATGCTTGTATCGCATGCTTGTATTTAGCAATAGACAATTATTGAAGGTATGAATAAAACATAATACACAATCTCTAAAATTATAAACTACATCTTTCAAATCATATGATGTTTTGCATAATCATCCTTTTTATTACGATATATAGCTTATACATACATATATATATATATATATATATTTTTTTTGTGTACTCTAAGCTTACAGATATCACTGCATATTTTGTCAATAAATCGAGTGTAAATCATAACAGAGACTTATACCTTAGTGAGTAACATTATTGCGTCGTCCTCGTCTCTTGCGACTACTGCCGGACGAACGATTTGACGAGGCCCACTGCTCATAGAAACGTTCAGCTTCTAGCCATTCTTGATACTTGTACCACCATTCTTCCCATTTGATATAATCATCGAGAGTGAGATCACGAAGATATCCCCTTGCTTTGTAATAATCATATCGTACGCGAACATCATCCCAGCATTCGAAACCTCTTGGGCCTTGTGCTAAAAGTGATTCAGGATAATGACCAGGAGGTGGCGAGTCGTAACCTAAACGCGCAATTCTCTCCTCGCCTTCTATAACGACCTTCATCGCATTCTCTCCATCTTTCGTGATACGCATATTTTCCATGTCTCTACGATCTACACTCCACTGCGCCATTTTACCAAATCTGAAAATTTAAACAGAATTATTATTATCTATTAATAGAAAAACTAGAATTGTGTAAAATCAATTTGAATGTTGTAAATTTATTTGAGTTTTATTATTACAATATTGCAGATTTTTAATACCTTTCGGATAATGTCATTTTTGGTGGTCCTACATGAGATGTAGTCGAGGAACTATCGCTATCATCGCTAGGTGAAGATTCTGGTGGAGGCCGTATTACTTGTGATGCTCCATGACTCGTACCATGTGTTTTTTCTATTTTTACTGGTTTACGTATCTGCACAATTTTAACAAAAATATTCCTAATATATGCAAACTTTAATTTTGAAGGAACGCGGCAATTATGCACAATACAATATATCTATCCAGTGTTTAAGAAATTGTTAATATAATTTTATAATTATTACAAAACATTTGTTGGAAAATTTTTCTTCATAGGATTGAATAATTTCTACAAGTTTGTCAATAAAGATAGAAAAAAATTACAAGAATTAAAGATTTAAGAATAAGAAACTATTATTTTACCAATGAAATAGGATCTGGTACTCGTGGATCTTCTGGCAATCTATTATGATGTTTCTCTTTACGGCGAACCTTAGCTTCTTTCTCTTTGATGTTTTTGTAATCCTTCTGATGACGCAGTGGCGGTTGCGGTGCCGGTGGTGGTGTACGTGGTCGCGGCAAGGGCGGCGAGCGTGGTCTCGTGCGCGGCTGTAAGGTCCGTGAACTCGATGCGATTACTTCTTTGGGATGTGTCCTAGTTCGTATCGGACTAACTGATCTCGAATGCGAACGAGATAACGGCGCGACGCGTCGTCGTTCTTTCGGTGAACAAACAGAACATGATCTGTCAGAACATGTACTGCCTGTGCTAGAGCTACGAGCAGTCTGTCTATTTTTATTGCGTTCACGAGAAGAACGTTCACGCGGTGATCGTGGACTTCTCGTTCGAGGACTGCGTGGTCGTGGACTGTGAGGGCTACGGGATCTTGGACTTCTCGGACTCTTGGGATGTCCTCTGCTAGGTTCACTGCTACTACCAACATATAATTCCTTGTATCCACTGTGACGCCACCTATTTGGATCTCGTTCCTCTGCTTCCAATAGCTTCTTGTTCCAATAACTCGATTGTGATTCGCGCGCTTTTCGCATTACGCTATCTATCTCTTTTCGCTTACTAGAACTCTCGCCATGTGGTCTAGATTGCGACACGCTCGTGTCCATTCGCAATCTACTTGAATTGTTGCTGCTAGTGCCTCTTCTTCTATCATAATCTCGAGATGACATCTCTAAAGATTTAATTTTTTGAATTTAATTTTCTCATTCATGTTGCATTATTATTTAATAAAATGTCATTATCAATTATATTGAAATAAACATTTATATTTTAATATAAAATGATGCTAGTATTGTTAATGTAAAATTGTGATATACATATATATAAGAAACATATTTACCTTACAGTACAAGATGGAAGACAAAGATAGAGCAGAAAAATATTTAGTCAAACCAGGCACACCAGTACAATATAATAATATTAATCCTCCATAGGCAATAAGGATAATGCTCGAAACTGCTGCAAACGTGCCAAAAGACCATAGGAAGTCTCAGAAGCACTCGTCCTTAGAATCGACTGGCCTAAGTGAAAAATTCTATATGTCACAAATCTGATTGAGACGTCATTAAGGTCAAAAGACGTTAAAGATAGCAAAGTGCATTCTTTTGGGGGATTTTTTCTCACGTGAATCTCCGATATTTTTTGCGACAGTCCACAAATACATGTATGTACGTGATACATCTTCGTTGCAAAGCGTACAACAAGATCGCCGATATGCGATGTCTTTAACATCGGTTCACTCACCGCGTATGTCCAATGAGAGATCCATGCGTGCCGCGAATCAAACGCACGCGTGACGCGCGACGCGCGTCAAAGTTCTCCGGAGAACTCGAGATTATCGTGCGCGCGCGCGCGCGCGCGCGATCGGCGCGATTACGAACGTGGTTACGAATCCGCCAATGACCCCCCGGGGTCATGAACCGCGGAAACCGTCGCAATATAAACGATTGCGATGTCGCGTACCGAGAACGTACGAACGCATCGCGTTCCGTCGTAGTCATAACGCGCTCCATCACGCGACGGCACTTGACGGCAACGACGACGGATGTAGCACGCCACATGCTTTGATTTACCCGCATAATCAACATTTCGTTTAACCGCCCGATGGTCGATCGAACTTGACCCGTATCACGTAAACGAATCACGAACGAATCACGAGTGTCATCTTCGCGGTAGGCCGGATAGGCGTCGCCTTCTTTCGTTTCATGACTACGACAGAAGGCAGGGCACATCGTCAGTCGATTCGTTCCCGTTCGTGATCACTCGCGACGCGACTTTCTTTACCTTGACTTTCTTCTCTATTGATGTTTGTCCCTTTGTTTTAGCGGGACACAGTGTCACTTTTTTCTTTTTTGGTTTTTTTTTTTTTTTTTTAACGCGACTCGGTCAAAGCGCACGAACGGTGCCATACAGCACTGTATATGTGGAAGTCCTTGCGCGGGCTCCGAGAAATGACGGACGACAATTGTACAATATATGAATGTACGTGCCGACGGGGACGGCACTGTGCTCGAGGGGGCGTTACCCGGGTAACGCTGCGACGAAATTCCTTGCCGCGGCGAGAATGGCGAGATGCTTCGAGAGAGAATTCAAGCTCGTTCGAGAGGAGATAGCCTGTATGTAATTGGTATAAAGCGCGTGCGCGCACTCATCCGCTCCCTTGCCAGCGTCAGCCCTCGTCGCTCCATTTTTATAAAAGCGAAGGTCGACGGCACTCTTTTTTTCGTTTCCATTCTCTTTCTTTCTCTTCCACGCGCATCTTCTTTCTCTATCATTCTCTACTTATTCGCACATTCACACAAGCGCGTGCGCGCGCGCGCGCACACACGACACACACACACACACACACACACATACACACGCACGCACGCACGCACGCTTGCACAAACACACATACACACTTTCTATAAATTTCTCTCTCTCTCTCTCTCTTTACCCCCCCTTTTCGTCGTTTGCTGCATTCGCAAACCAGATTCCGTTCTTTTCTTTCTCTCTCTTTCTCTCTCTCTCTCTCTCTCCCTCTTTTTCCTGCTAGTATCAACCTCTTGACATCACAGGACTCCAATTATTAGTGAAATTCGAATACGTCAGTTTTTCTGTATGTGCAAGCGAAGCGCGTTTTACTCAACGGCGACTGCCGTTTGTTACAACTCGCGTACGCGTCCGATAAAGGTGGAGCGACAAAAATCAATTGCTCAAATCTAGCACGCTTTGATTCGACCCGAATAATACTTTTTTTTTTTTTTTGATCGGAATCCCCGCGTCTATCACGCAGGACGAACGGACACTCACTTTTCTTAACGCGACGACCCGATTACTTGCATTTTCTGGTACGTATCCCGGCGATTTGCTCTCGCGTGATGGCGAATATGTTCACAATGGACTTTCATAGAAGAGGTTCTTCTGTCACTTAATCATTAACCATCGAACAGAGATAGATGGTAAGCTTTCTTTTGATTTAGATAGAGCATATATGTACAGAGAGAAACCTAAAGCCGGCGGCACACGATGCTTGTTTTCTCGCAGAATCTCGAAGGTGGATTAAAGATGATTCATATATGAGCGTCAAACAGCGAAAGCAGTAATCAATCAGCTGGGCAATATGGGCAGTGGTGTAAAAAATATTCTTTTTATAAAACCACTGTAAAAATCGTCTCGTTGATTGATTGCTTCTTGCATGTGAATGCATCTTTAGAATTTTGTCACCGTATTGGCTGCGGTGCTATCAGTGGCCTAGTTTACATCGTGAACTTGATACGAGTAGAGAGACTCGTAGGGAGAGAGTAGCAAAATGCCCATGTCCAATTCGGGGGGAACGTGACCAGTTTTCTCCAATCTCTTCCATGTCTATGGAGCTTTGATGCTTGTGTCCAATCAGAGAAGACTGGTCACTTGTTGGAATTTGCCACTCTCTCCCAGTGATGCGCTGTCGTGGGAATTATTCCCACACAGGAATGTACGTGCGCATGCATATTGCCGATACGTTGTGAAAGCAGCCAATACGAAATTGTAACGGCAATTTATGCATGCGCATGAACATTCCCGTGTGGAAATAATTTCCATGACAGTGCTCTCTTTCTCTCTCCTCTCCTCTCCTCTCCTCTCTCTCTCTCTCTCTCTCTCTCTCTCTCTCTCTCTTTGTGAGGTTCGCTAGATACTAACTAGTAACTTTCTATTAAATAATCTCAATTTTCGGCGATATGTTGAAACATATACATGATATATATATTTAATTAATCATTATGATACCAATCAGTATATTGTATATTGTCCAATTTAGTACATCATTCTTTAAATACATTGTTGAAATTAAAATAATTTAATAGAAAGTTATTATGTTAGTACGTGCACCGATGAGATACTATTAAAGACCTTCGACGCTTAAATGAAAATTCGCGTATGTTAAATATTATAATTTGTTAAAATTTAAATGATTAAGGTCCGATTGCATCAACATTGATTTTATGGCTATTGTCAAAGTCTCGCTACAAATGTTTATGAAGCATTTGATGGACCAATTAGAAGAAAGAATTTTACAAACTGACCAATTAAAAAATGTTTTAAAATATTTGCAGCATCGCGTAATCATACCTTAAGTGAGGCTTAAAATTCTCTGTGTCTCTTTTTCGCTTTAATACAAAAGAGAGATTTTAAGTTTCGCTTAAAGTCAAAGTAAGTGGTGCAATCGAGCCTTATGCCCGTATTCATAGTCAGAGCCTTCATAGTCTTACATTTAATCTTCTTTAAATTTATCTTCAGATACTCTACTAAATTATTTCATTGACTACTGAGCATCTAAAGATAAATTTAAGAAAGACTTAAGATCTGACTGAATACGGATATTAGAGTACTAAACTAACAATACAGTATACTAATAAACAATACTAATTTCATAATTTATTAGTTTTGTAAACATGTACATATGTGTTTAAAACTTAATAATATTCGATTTTTATTTAAAACTGTGATTTTAATGATATCATCCGTTTAATTATCAATAGAAATGCATGCAGAGGAAAAATTGTAATTTTTCGACAATATACAAAATATTATATATCTATTAAAAGTATGCATATTTATTTATACAGCTTTTATATAATAAAAAAAATCACAAATTCTATAACATATCGAAATATTTATATTAATAGTCATAAATTTTTATTAATTATCAGTAACGTCATCTTTATCCCCGACCCTCCCCCCCACCTCGTAAGCTCCGAGCTCCATTGGTAGTCATGAAAATTTGTCCAGGGCTGAGAATCTTTAATAGTATCTTGTTGATGGTATCAAATGCATGATGTAAACTAGGCCAGTGCCGGCAAGAGCCAATATAATGGTAAGATTATAATCCAATTAGCAATCCAGCAAGAAAACAAGCATTGTATATTAATTGCTCACATTATTAATTGACCAATTTAAAAATATATAATCTCATTGGTGAAGCAGTTCAGAAAAATTATTAGAAACAAACCGATGTGAATGGCGTGTATAACGCCATTGAACTGTATGCAAGTATACCGCTCCTGTTAAATCTGTCTCTCAAATGTCAAATTTAACATTTCTTGCCCTTAATCATATTATAAAATTGTCGGCCTATTAGTTTTGTGACAAAAGTCATCACGTGAATATTGAATAGAATCTCGCCGGTCAGGAACAATTCTCGTTGATAATCCATGATATGTCACTTTAAAATTGCCGCCGTGCAAATGTTTAAATGGCGCTTTTAGTATCAGCGAAATTCGTCTTGAATAAGCACACCTCGATTTCTTTCACCATGACACCATGATCAGTTCCACGTTGACGAATTGACGACTACGTAGTGAACAGAACAGTGGTAAAGTTCCACGTAGCATGAGGTAGAGCGTGGTCATGATAATTGCACGTTATGTCGGAACATTGTAGGATCAGTGGATGTTGAGATAGAATTAATTCGTGTATTCGTAACAGAAGCGTACCTATTGAACAGCAGATTAAAATGGGATACTTAAACATTTTCTTATTCTTGATAGTTTCAACAATTGCACTTGCAGCAAATGGAGGTAATTTAATTTATTTGTATAATGTACATTTTACAGTATGTGCATAAGAATCAAATTATAATACCTGACTTAAGTTTGCAATTTTTCTGCTTTATAATGATGCAGTCAAATATTTTGGATAAATAATTAAATATTTTGAAATATTTTGGATAAATAATTAAATGATATTTTGAAATATTCCAAATATTCTTTTCTAGTTTGTATCATTTCATATTTGTATAGTAAGATATTGAAACACTTACATTATAATATATTATATTAATTAGGGAATAGAAGTAACGCATTGCTCGTAACACATTTAATCTGATTCTATAATCAGTTGATAGTAAAAAATTTTAATGGACTTTTTACAATAAGCTATTACTTAAGTTTTAAGTCTTAAATCAGAAATTAAGAAATTAATCAATCACTATCGAATATTAGAAGAACAATCAATTATGATTGGTCAATTTCTTATAGCTTAAGACTTAAAACTAGGTAATGACTTATTGTAGAAAAAATTCTATAATAAATTAGTCATTAGAGTCATTAGTTTTTGATTTATTATATATTGATTTATTATATA